AGTATGCTGAGGATATTGCCCTAATCTGTGATAGCTCACAAATGTGCCATGCGGCACTGGACAGATTAGCACTAGCTGTCCGTCACTTCGGGCTTTGTTTCGCATCCTCGAAGTGCAAAGCGTTCCTCCAAGATTGGTCTGGACCGCCTCTTGCGCTGACCCTTGGTGGGGATCAGCTAGAAGTTGTTCAAAAATTCAACTACCTGGGAAGTTGTATCAGCGTTCGTGGGATGGAAGATGAGATCACGAACCGTATAGCAAAAGCTCGAGGCGCTTTTGCTAACCTTCGCCACTTATGGCGGCGGCGCGACATCGCACTTGCCCTGAAGGGTGGAGCGTACAATGCAGCAGTACGTTCGACCTTACTGTACGGTTGTGAAACCTGGCCGCTTAAAGCAGCGGACCTGAAGAGGCTAGTTACGTTCGACCACCAGTGCCTTCGCAATTTAGCTCACATCTGGTGGGAACACCGCGTGAGCAACGAGCGTGTTCGACGCTTTGTTTACGGTACAGGAAAAGGAAATGAACCGCTCAGCACCGTTATTTCACGCACCAGGCTCCGATGGCTCGGCCACGTGTTACGCATGCCAGCCCACCGACTCCCTCGACGTGCGTTGTTTGCGCGCCGGGGGTGTGGATGGAAGAAGAGGAGGGGTGGTCAAGCGATGACTTGGTCGAGAGGAATGAAGGCCCTCACTTCTGAGCTGGCCTTGGTTGGAGCGTCTCGGCTCCCTGGTTGGGGTCCGAAAGACGATGAACACGTTTGGTTGGACACACTTGCTGATATGGCTAGGAGCCGACCTCACTGGCGTTCGTGCTGTGAGTTTCTTTGTCCCACCCCATCCATTTTAGCCTCCCCCTCCAACCACGATCTCATTATTTACCCTTATATAATTTTGCATAGTAATTTTTTTGATGCATAGTAGCCGGCAGGTAGCTTACCGGAACGATGCCCATCCGTTACCGGTAGCTCAGCCAGCTTGCCCCAGTTGAATTTTTTCTCTCTCCTTTTTTCTGTGTATTGCGGCACAGTAGCTGAGGTGTTCCCCACTTCTATCTAACTTGTATGATGATGATGACGATGATATGTCACTAAGTCACGACCTCTGAAGGCCATCCACTGTCCACTACAAGGTTAGTAACCTGTGTGGCCTGCTACCGCCCCCTTGGCTCAGTGGCATAAGCTGCTGGCTACTAGCGAAATCAGCTAGTGGTCACTGGTTCGGTTCCTAATGTATCGGAGGTTTCGAATCACCTAGGAGTCCTAGTACGGTGAACCAGCTGTCTGACATGTTCCTGGATTGGTTATCGGAGTGTCTGGCTTGTGAACTGCTGGGACGAATTGGCATTTTCATTCACAGTCTCCTGGAGGTTGTAATCGAGGTGACATGCTTCAGCAGCTAGGCACCTTATCAACTTTCGCATCAATCGTAACCAGACCTAGGACATGTGGACTGGAGAACACTGCCAAACAGGTGTAACACGAGCTTACAGTTATCAGTACAGTTCGTCGACAGGGACCATGTAGCACTCGTGCTACATCTGGCGAATGATTAGCCTGGTTTAGTTAGTGAGACCGGACGCAGCGTTGACACTTGCCTATTTAACTTACCCATCACATCTTAGAGACTAGCTCCTAAGGTGCTGATTACACACACACACACACACACACATATATATATATATATATATATATATATATATATATATATATATATATATGGCACCGAATCGGAACAGCAGACTCACCAATAACCCGATGCATACCGCACAACATCTAATCATCCGTTTATTCCTGTATTGAACGATTCATCATGGACTTACTCGATGCTGACGGTTCACTAATCCAACTGCACATGAGCTCTACACTCTGATCAACTAAATTTGTTTGTCAACTTCGAAGAGTTCAACATCCTTCTTTTCCATAATTATCTTAAATTTAACCGGATTCTGTGATGCCGCATCATTTCTTTTTATTTGATGCTCTAAAGGATTTCACTCATTCTCATGAGTTACAGTCCGGAATCAGCTAAATACGAGTTGTACCATCATCCTCCGTAAAAATCTTCTCCTGGATGTCATGGTGCTCGCCGGAGACTTAAACCCACGGGCTGGCATCTTTGAAGCTTATGAGCGCGCTCTCCGTGGTCTTCATGGCCATAATACTAGCAGCACAGATAACGGCGATTGTTTACTACAGATCTGTGTCTATCATAGCTCTTTTCTCCCTAGTACTGGCGACAGCGTTCTCCCGGTCAGTGGTAGACGCAGATCGACCATATCGCCATCAGTTACTGCTGATGAAGCTGCATAACGGACTGCGAGTGAACTTCGCTTATCTATCTAATTTCAGATCACGCGTTTGTATGTACCAATCCGCTGTGTTTTTGTGGTATCAAACACCGTCGCCCACGAACCGCTCGGCTTAGCGAAATTTGCCGCTCTTATCATTTTCAAAGATTTCCGAGCAGCATTAACCCCTTATGGAGCCTCAGCGGGGTGCGTGAACGACACAAGTGAAGATTACAAGGCGGTAGTATGAGGAATTGAATGATATAGGAAAAAATTCCTCACATCTACACTCAGCCATCACACGCCCGGGAAAGCACTGTACGACCTTCGCCCCTAATTTACCAGATACATGAAGAACAAGCTGGGTTTTGTCCAGCTCGGAGCTACATCGACCACATTTTACGATCCATCAGATACTTGAGCACCGCCGGGCTTTCAGTCGGTATGTTTCTTGGATATACCTGCTACTTTCGACTCGGTTGACAGAGCCGCTCCCTGGAGTTACTTATTGAAAATAGTACTGCATGTCAAGTCTAACATCGTCCTCCAAGCAGTCTGTTCTCCAACCTCCGGCCATTTGCGGGTGCAGGGGAATCATTCTCAATCCTTCAGTATCACTAGTGGTTCACAAGATTGCCATGCATCACCCCTCTTGTCCATCTTCGATATGGACGACATCTTGGAGATTTCTCCGTAAAAATGTGTGCCTAGTGAGATGAGTTGCTTCTGGGTGATCGACTTCGTCCCTATTTCATTTTTGTGAGGTATGAAGAAACCCACCTGGAACTCTAGTGGTCTCGCACTGGATAGGATGAACTATCAAAAAAGGACTTCCCTGTGAACCCCACTTGATCCGAGCCTCATTCATCTGAATACAATCACGATATACGAAGATGGCAATGCCGTTGCTCATACCGACACTCACTTGCACTCACTTCCTCCCGGACACAAGCCCAGTGCGGATAACTGAGCAAGCTCATGCACAATCGAAAATGAATGAGGCCGCCCCATTAACAATTGCCTCAACATTCATTAACAAGGACTTCCGGTGCATCTCTACAATATCAATGCGGTCAATCCCTCTCACAAGATTCTTCCGCTGCCTATATCAGTGACTCCACAGTGCTTGCAATTCCAGCAATCAAACATCTACACAATGTATCCCCAGCTGTGATGTTCTCAAGCACTCTCGAAGACAGTGAACTCACGATGATCCTCTAAAGCATGCCCGCGATGTCATTTTTATAATTTCGAATCACCTACTTCATCATTTCTGCAGATTCACCCGCTACATTCAGCCTAACGGGCGGTTTTCTTGGATTATATGTCAGCTACTCGTCCCGCGGAACCCGCCTCCAATGGGCCCGGGACAGTGACGTTCACAAGTTGACTGCGATTAGGGATCGCATTGTATCTGTATCCATTCTTAACAGCGCATACAACTGATACTACGTCTGTACACAATATTCCATTGCAAATTGTTTCTATGGATCCCTTACAACAATTGTACACCTTTTATAACCATTTTGACTTGAACCTGACGCTACATCAGTGCTTGTGACAATTTGATCATGTCTAGCAAGGCGTGTCTCGAACATCTCGAGAATAAATCTATTTATTTATCTATTTGTTTATACGGCTCGCGATATCATTTTCTATTTCACAGGCGCCAAAATAACTTCCTAGGTACTTGCATTTTTGAACGACTTCTAACTGAACACCAAAGGTCAGCACTCGAGTGGGTCCCTACTAATCTTAGTGTAGAACTTTGCATTTCGAGGGTACAGATTATGACCCCAAAAGATTGAGAGCCAGTACCAAATTGTCTAGTGCTGCTTGATTCGTTTGGGAGCTGTCTTCTACATGCTCCAAGTCATGAAGTCGCTCACCACGTCACCGCATTAGTGATGCTGATGTACAACATCGGATTTTTAAGTCAGGCAGACTCTGTCCATCGCTAAGTTACATCGTTCCCCTGTGCATGATTCGATGGCTCGGACGTGTGCATCGTACGCTCGCTCAATGGTTGCGCAGCCGCGCTCTCTTTACACGCACCGGCGTTGATTGGAGATGAGGTAGAGGTGTCCAACACAGAACTTGGGCTCGGGGAATTAATGCACTGACATCAAACTTGGCTGCAGAGTCTTACCAAGTTCCCGGCTTGGAACCCAATGAACACACATACACCTGGCTGGAAACACTAGTAGATATTGCCCGGAATCGCACTCATTGACGAAAGCGCTTGGCAACTGTCTTTTCTTGGCCGCTTATTTTCGTCATTTCCCCCCAGATTTTGTGACATTCTGCCAATTGTATATTTGTCAACTTTCGAATATTTAATACTGTGCCCAGAAAGAAACCGAACGTTTGGAATAGCCGCCTGCGGTTAGTATGGGCGCGTACATGCTTGTCTAGACGATAGACTGTCACTGCACACGTTTTGCTCTGTCCGTTAATTGGCGTGTTTTCTTGGAATTCTCTATATCATCTCTCCTGTTAATACCAAAGTTTATTCGCCTCTCTGTTTTTGGTACCTTTTAATTTGAGCCGTTCGTACCGCAGTATTAGTACTGCTTAACTTGTTTCCTTTTTGGCGATCTCATTTTTCAAACGGTTAGCTACAATTTTGCTCTTGGGACCACTAACTACCAACCACGAGCCATTTCTAATTGTTGTATTGCTACGTTCCGTCCTCAATTTTACGGTAGTGACACTCATCCGTCAGGGATCCGCTCATGGCCCTGGAGCGTGTATTGAACGGTGCTTTGTCGTACGCATGCACAGGCCGGAATGAATTTCTGAAGAAGCTGAAATCTCTTCCCAAAGTAACAGTTGTTCTCAGCTGCCCTAACTTTCGGACGTTTTCAGACCACTGCGGTGGTGATATCTTGCGTGGATTCTCGAGTTTTCCCCGCCAACTTCTTATCCACCGAACCTGGTGATACATTTATCATTCGAAATCCAGGGAATTTTGTACCGCCGGTGCATCCAAAACACGATCCGTGCGATGTGCTCAGCACGCTGGAACTCGCATGCGTTCGAGGCGAGGTGGATGATATTTTCGTTTGTGGACACTCTGATTGCAAGGTACGTTTTGTGTAGCCAGCTTAGGTAGGTATATTAGCGATAAATGTTCGAACACGCGTTTCAGGGTCTTTGGTCTGTATAGTCTGCTTAATATTAGTTTCCAGGTAAGAATTCGAACTAATCCTATCACTTTGTTCCGCGGTTCTTGTTCTTTATGGCTCACATTCATTGTGGATCGCAGGGGTTCGTATCGCAGTGGTGGACGGTTTCACGATATATGTTGCAATATTTCGACGTGTGGAAATTTTTTATCTATTGTCAATCATTGTAAAGTGATTTGTCCCCTTGTCTTTAATTTTATGCGTTGTTTCCCTATTGCTGAGGCTTCAGATGTGTCCAGACATTGTTGGGTGGCGTCTAGGATACTAGTCGGTAATCAATTACAGGTAAGAGCCGCGTCAAATACGGGACGGTATAGAAGTTGGAGGCGACTGAACCCAACGTCTATTGTGCAGGCTAAAAGATAGGAAGCGAATCAATATGAGCGAGAAACGATGTAGCAAAATACTCACCAAACCAATTTGTGAAAGCGGAAATGCCGTCAGTAAAACAAGTGAACGTTTTGAAGATTACAACAATGGTAAAACCCAAAGTTGCAAAATACAGAAAGCGTGTTTTCCCGTACTCTACAAGAGCCCCCTAGAAAGCTGAAGGATGGAAGCGTTCGATGGAACTGTTAGTGGGGGAAAACGGGAGCTGAAGGTGCGTGCGAATAATTGCATGGGCTTGAACAATGGCTTCCAAGATGGGGTGTGTAGCAGAGTTTGCTGAGTCAAGGCTTTTGTTATCAATTATTTATGATGATTGTGTGGACCAGATTGCATCATCGATGGGTCGTCGGGGCGGGTTGTTCGGATTGCAAACAATACTGATTAGTCCAGGAAAATGGCCGACAGGACCTTCCCTTTGCTGCAAACCTGACGGTGCGCTTGGGAGGTGTCACTCAGCCCACCGCGCTTCAGTCCACGGTCCTCGTCCCACGAAGAAATCCAGGCGTCCTCGTCCCACGAAAAAATCCGGCGGAATCATCGGCAACGCCTAGCCAGGCATTGTTGGACCAACCCGTTCGTGGCTGTCTGCGGCTGAAGGCGGCTGACTGTTCCTTTGGTGAGGAAGGAGGTCTTGGTTCGGCTGGCGAGTCAAGCGGAGGTTGTGTTGAGCCGGTCGGCGAGTCACTTGATGGTTGCCTTGGCAGTTCCGGCGGTTGAGTTTCTGGAAGGTAGAACTCAGAGGAGGTGGGCGAGGGTCAGGGGAAGTGGCTTGACGCCGGAGAGGGAACATGACTTGCATGATAAAGGCAAATACCCTTTATAAGTTTCAAAATGTTTTGGGTTTTCTCGATTATGCAAACGTTTGTGGATGAGACCCACAATTACCACTAAAGACGAAAACGTGTGTTAATGGAAATAGCAAACGTTTACAAAAGTTGTAAAACGAACCGGACGTTTGACCTGTTTACCACGTCGGGCGATTGCTTGGGGTTGAGGCGAGGTAGGTTGCGGGTCAATGGGAACGGAGGGTTCCGGGATATCTAGGTACGGGTGCTTGTGTGATAGCATCAGGATGGGTTGCAAGTGGTTCGTCAAAGAAAACCACTTCGAAGCGGTCGTTGGACACCGTTGTTCGGTGAGCATTCCGGTTTAAAGTGAAATGTTTCGGAGTCAGTTGCAGGACTCTGAAATGGCCAGTGTAGGAAGGCTAGAGAGGGCACTGCACTGCGTCAGTGCGGAGGAAGACGTGAGTACAAGTAGAGGGTCCGCTGTATATTTGCACATCACTAGTCTGCTCAAGGGGCGGAGTCGGGCGTAGTGAACGCATGCGTTGAGCTATGGAGGACGCAAAGTTAGGCGGAGGCATACCCGACGATGTGGGAGATGACACGAATTCCCTTGGCAACTTTAGCTTTGCGCCGCCAACCGGCTCTGCTGGTGCACATGGCAAGTCAGCTTTGGTGCTGCTGCGAATGCTTAAGAGTACGAGCGAAATGCTTTCACTCCACCTAGGATAGGTGGAGGCGCAGAGCGAGGCTTGAAGCTGTCTATGGAAATGTTCAACAAAACCGTTTGCTGCTGATTGATACGCTGTGATATGAATGCGGCGGCAGCCTAAAATGTTTCAAAACTTGTCGAATTGTGAAGATTCGAAGGGCGTTCCTCTGTCAGTTATAATGATCGTTGGTCATCCGTAGTGCGAGACCCACCGTTCTAGGAAGGCCCGGAGAACAGTCTCAGCTGTGTGTTCTGTTACGGGAATGGCTTCTGGCCATCTGGTGAAGCGGTCGACACATGTAAGAATGTATACGAATCCGCGTAAAGGAAGCAAGGGACCCACTAGGTCTAAGTATACAAGCGAGAACCGAGAGTCCGGGGCAGGAAATGAACCAAGAGGACTGCGGGTGTGACGATGTATTTTCGAGCGCTGGTATTGAAGGCATGCGCGAGCCCAGGTACAAACATCCTTGTTTACGTTTGGTTAAACGAAACGTTCGGTGACCAGTTTCAAAGATGCACGGATACCGGGATGTGATCGTAAGTGCAGTGCATCTGAAGGAGACGGGCACGAGGGGTCTAGGACAACCTGTGGAAGTGTCACAGAGGATGGTTCCTTCCGTGGTTTGAAGAGGAACAGGTTGCATATGCTGCGAAGTGGGCTGCAGATTGCGTTGTGTCTTCATCTTGAGCCTGAGCCGATGCCATGGCTGCAAGGTCGACGATAGGCAAAGACTGGATAGTGAGGTTGACGCGTGAGAGAGCGTTGGCAACGGGATTGTCGACACCTGAGACATGACGTATGTCAGCTGTGAACTGAGTGACAAAGTCTAGGTGTCTTGTTTCCCGTGGTGAATATTTTTCACAAGCACATGTGAAGGCGAATATGTGGGGCTTGTGGTCAGTGTAGACCGTGAAAGCGCGGCCTTCGAGTGTGTGCCGAAAGTGACGAATGGCCAGGTGAATGGCGAGCAGTTCTCTGCCAAACGTGTTTTAGCGGGATTCCACTGGCTGCAGGCGCTTGGAGAAGAACCGGAGGGGTTGTCATTGCCCACCGACGTGTTGTTGGAAGACGGCTCCTACCGCGACGTCTGAGGCGTCAATCGTAATAGAAAGTGGTGCAGTCGATTCGGAATGAACGAGGAGGGATATGTTGGAGATAGCATCCTTGAGCTCGGCGAAGGCTGTCTGTGCTGTGCCAGGAAAAGCGAACCTTCGTTCATTCCCTCTTAATAGGTCAGTCGGAGGCTGTAAGAGCTCAGCGCTGAATGAAGCGTCGATAGTAGTTGACCAAATCGGCAGAGGTGCTTGAACGAAGTCGGAGCTGGGAAGTCCTGGATTGCCCGGATCTTAACAGGAAGGACTTCGATACCAGACGATAAAACGAGGTAGTCTGAGAGTTTTACCGTTGCTTTGCGGAGTTCGCACTTAGTTGGGGTGACTGACACCGTAATTCGTCAAGCGCTGGAAGAAAGTTCGGTGGTCATGGTGCTCTTGTTCCGATGCACTGAATACTAAAATATCATCGAGGTAGGAGTAAGCCATGTCTATGCCACTAGTAACATTGTGGATGAAGCGTTGGAAGGTTTGTGCGGCGTTGCACAGTCCAAATGGCATTCTTGAAAATTCGAACAAGCCGAAAGGAGTGATAACGGTTATTTTAGGAATGCCATTTTCTTCTACAGGTTTCTAGTGATAGGCGCGAACCAGATCGACGTTGCTTAAGATCGTCTTACCTGTGAGGCATGCGGTAAGGTCTTGCATGTGTGGGATGGGATACCTATCTGGGACGGTTAGCCAATTGAGTGCGCATTAAGCACCGCAAGGGCGCCAGTCGCTAGATCCCTTTGGGACCATCTGCCGGGGAGAGCACCAAGGCTTGTCGGAAGTGCAGATTATTCCAAGTACGAGCACGTGCTCAAACTCCGCTCTAGCTACCGCATGTTTCTCGGGCGATAGTCGGCGTGGACGGCATGAGACAAGTGGGCCATTCGTCCGTATGTGGTGCATGACTTGGGATACCACGGGCACAGCTGCGTTCATTGGCTGAACGAGCTTGGAATGATGGGAAAAGAGGTTGGCGTAGTCTGGCGACGCTTGGGGAAAGGCGTAAACCTGTGCTATAGATGAGATATGGGCGGTGATGCTACGCACACTGAGTTTCGTTTCAGTGTCGACTATCATCTGGCGTTTTGCATCGACCAAGAGGTCGAAATGCCTGAGAAAGCCAATGCACATGCTGCCAAAGGGGACTGCAGCGACGGTGAATACCCAGCGGAACGTGCGCCGAAGACCTTGGTCCACGGTAAGCGACCGATAACTGTTGGTGGCTATCGAAGGGCCATTGGCGGCACTTAGGCTTATCGACAAAGAAGCGGTAGACTCACCTGGCATTGGGGGAATGACGCTGACTTCCGCCCCGGTATCAACTAAGAAGTGGGTCTCGGAATCCTAATCACTAATGTAGATGAGACCACTTTGGGTTTTGCCGGCGTGGCGGTTCATCTGTAGCGGAGTATCTACATGACCATACGCACTTATTACCGAAATGTGTGTGGTAAATGCAACAATCTGGTGCATCAGGTTTTGTGCGATGGGGCGATGATCCAGAGCGGCTGCGGTGCTTACGGTTTAAAGTAAGCTCCTCCATCTGGCGCTGAAGCAACGCTATGTGCGATGATAATGCGTTTATTGCCGACGGCTGGCTAGTCGCGGGTGTCGTTGTGGTTGCGCCAACACAAAGGTGCTTAGGTGCTTTAGTTTCAGTCTCTGGCTGGTGCTGTTCGATGACACGGTCTGCTAGATTTGCAGTTGCTGTGATTGACAGGTTACTTGCTACTGCAAGGATGGCCTGCGTGTTTTCGGGAAGGCGTTGCATCCACAGCTCGCGGTGAATCCCTACCTCAACGTTGGACGTGCCAATGAGCTGTTGCATTTCGCGCAACAAGGCTGAGGGCATCCTATCTCTTGGTTGCAGATCACTAAATAGTTGCTTCAGATGGACCTTATCAG